AATATGGCATAAAATGACTTAAAAATGTTTTATACAAGACATTTTTTTAAAAACGTATTTTAGTGATTTTTTTTTTTTTTTTTTTTTTTTACAGAGCGGAAGAGAGAGGGATATAGAGTTGGAAACATCAATCAGCTGCCTCCTACACACCCCTCTCTGCGATGTGCCCGCAACCAAGGTACATGCCCTTGATAACGGAATCAAACTTGGGACCTTTCAGTCTGCAGACCAACGCTCTATCCACTGAGCCAAACCAGTTTTGGCGACAAGACATTTTTAAAAGAGCTAAAATGAATACAGGTGCTTTAAAATATTTAATTTATGAATTTTTAAATATGAATCCTTCCATCTTTATTCTACAAAATTTTAAGTTGGCTTAGTTAATGGATAAAGTTATGAAGGACTAAAACACAACAGGAAAATTTTGAAACTTTTGCAGAAAAAAATAATATGCCACTAGAAAAGATTTTAATGTAATGTAATATATTTCTCAGGAGTAAAACTGTAGTTTTATTTATATATTACTTTAAATGATATAGTCTGTGGTTTACAAGGATTTTTATTTTATAGGGTTTTGGTTTTGTTTTATTTTAATTTCCAGGTTTCTTTTGGTCTACACCTTATCTTCTAATTCTAATAACCTCTTAGAAATGTGCATGTATTTTCTCCATTAATAGCAGCTGCCATTTATTTCAGTTTAACACAAACACATAATAAAAAGTGCCAGAGTAAAAAAAAAAAAAAAAAAAAAAGTGCCAGAGTAAAGACTATGTAATTATGCATTTAACAAACTAGAATTTCCATTTTAGGGTCTGTTTTAAATGGGAATAGTGGTATCACTTAGAGCTATGAAATCTGTCCCATAACGCCGATAATAAATTAACACAAGAGACAGAACCTGCCTTTAAAGTAATTTAACTTTCTTTTGCCGTGCAGAAGCTTTTTAGTTTGATATAGTCCCATTTGTTTAACTTACCATTTGTTTCCCCTGCTTTATGATATATATCAGCAAAAATATTCCTTCAAGAATTATCTGAAATTTTACTGCCTATGTTTTCTTCTAGGATTTTCATGGTTTCATGACTTACATTTAAGTCTTTTATATCCATTTTGAGTTTATTCTTATGTACTGGTATAAACTGGTAGTCTAGTTTCTTTTTAATTCCATGTACCTGTTCAACTTTCCTAACACCATTTATTGAAGAGACTGTCTTTATTTACTCCATTGTATGTTCTTGCCTCCTTTCTCAAATATTAATTGACCGTAAAGCATGGATTTCTAGGTTCTCTGTTTTGGAACCCACTGCATTGGAAAAAATATTTGCCAATGATATGTATAATAAGGGGTTAATTTCCAAAATATATGAAGAACTTAAACAATTCAACACCAGGGAGACAAACAATCCAATTAAAAAATGGGCAAAGGACCCGAATAGACTCTTTCCAAAGAGGACATACAGATGGCAACAAACATGTGAAAAAAAGATCAACATCACTGACCATCCAAGAGATGCAAATCAAAACCACAATGAGACATCACCTCGTAGCTATCAGAATGGCTATCATAAAAAAGTCAACAAACAAGTGCTGGCCAAGATGTGCATTAAAGGGAACCCTTCTGCAATGTTGGGGGGAATGAAGCCACTGTGAAAAACAGTATGAAAAAATTAAAAATGGAATTGCCTTGTGACCTAGTGATCTCATTTCTGGGAATATATCCTAAGAATCTTGAAACACTAATACAAAATAATATATGCGCCCCTATGTTCATTACAGCATCATTTATAATAGCCAACATCTGGAAATGGCCCAAATATCCATCAGTAGATGAGTGAATAAAAAAGCTGTGGTACATTTACACAGTGGACTACTATGCAGCCTTCAAAAAGAAGGAATGCTTTACCTTTTATAAGAGTATTGATGGATCTGGAGATTCAATATGCTAAGTGAAATAGGCCAGTCAGAGGAAGACAAATATATGATCTCACTTAGATGTGGTATATAATGAACAGAGTAAATTGATGAAAAAATAAAAACAGAGGCATGGGTACATGGAACAGTCTGACAGCTGTCAGAGGAGAGAAAGGTGTTGGCATGTTGGGGAACTGGATGAAAGAAGGTGAAGGGACTAGTCAAAGAACATTATACTTGATACATAGACACACACACAGTTGTTTATGGCCAAAGAAAATGGGGTACGGGGTCTGGATGGAGGTGGGCAAGATGGAGGAAAATAGGGATATCTGTAATTTTGCCAAAAATATCAATAAACTTTCAAAAAACAATGTTACCCTCAATTTGCAAGTATATATTTAAAATTTATTATACAAAATTTTACTCATACAAGAATAAATTCCTCAGGATAATTAATAATCACAGAAATCTACAAGTCTTTTATTTTCCATTGGTTGTTCTGGACTACCCATAAATTCTAAAGCAAAGAAGAAAAAATGCATCTCTATTAATAATAGATAAATATGCAAACTGTCTGTTACAGCAACACGTCATGGCCTGATCAGCAGGTTGCACCCCTGCCCTCTGCTCAGGCAGCTGCAAGGCCTGGCGTAGGACAGGATACAAGGAGGGGATAAGAAAGGAGAGGAAGAGGAAGGCAGCCTGCATGCAGACAGGCCCAGAGGAGAGACAGAAATACAGAAAGAAAACAAGAAAAAGACATAGAAATGGAAAAGGGAAGGAAATGCGGAGCTGCACGTGGGAGGGGGTGGTAACCATAGACAAAGGGGGGAGCAGGTGCACCCAATGAGGGACAGGGCGGGAGCTCCGCCCAGACGCAGGAGGAGGGTGGTGGCCCCCAGTGTGGGCCATTGGCAGGGAGGTGCCCATGGGTCCAGGACGTAGTGGTGGATGGTTTGAGGCCTTCTGGTTGGAAGTGCTCATGCTGTGCAGCAGCAATAGCGCCTGAGCTGCGTGGCCTTGGCCACCCTCGCAGAGCCAGGTGTCCCAGGCAGGGAGTGGGAGCAGGATGGAAGCTTTATAAAGGGAGGGAGGGAGAGGGGGAGGGGAAGAAGTTTATAAAGGAGTCAGTAGATAGCAGAGTTAAAGAAGGAAAGAGGGTGTATGAGTGAACTGTAGGAGCTATAATGGAAATCAAATATAATTGTGTACTGGGGACCAATTTTAAAAGTAGGAGCCAGAAAAGAAAAAAGATAAATGATAGTGACTAATGAGGCAGATAGGTAGATATTAAAACAGTGGAAGTAAGTAGAGAAGAATGTGGATGAGAGAGAAAGGGAGGGAAGAAAAGTTTTAAAGGGGAACTGATAGAGCTCAAAAGGAGAAAGGGAAGAAGGAAGAAATGGGGGAGGTGGTAAAGCAGGTCTGAGGGAGGAAGTGAAGGGGAAAAAATTAAGGTGAGAAGGAAGGAAAGGGGATGGGAGGGCAGGGTTAAAGATAAAGGAAAGAAGGAATGTGGGAAGGGAGGGAGGTTAGGAGAAAAATGTGAAGAAGGATGATGGAACAGAAGTAGGAAATAAGGAGGAAAGAAAAGTTTGTAAATGATGAGTCAGTAGGAAACAGTGGTACATAAAGAAGAGAGAAGAGAAAAACTGTGTGAGAGGGAGAAGCCAATAAGGAAGTCAAATACAATTGTGTGTGAAGGGGATAGATTAAAAAAAAAGTTAATAGGGGCAATCAGGCCGGTAGGGGAGGGCAGTTAGGGGTGGCCAGGCTGGCAGGGGAGAGCAGTTAGGAGAATCAGGCAGGCAGGCAGAATGGTTAGGGCAGGCAGGCAGATGAGCAGTTAGGAGCCAGAGGTCCTGGGTTGCAAGAAGGGATGTCCAGCTGCCAATTTAGGCCCCATCCCTGTAATATTCGGCCTCAACTGGAGGCTGGACATGCCCTGAGGACTCCCGGATTGGAGAGGGTGCAGGTTGGGAATAGGAACCCCCCATCACGTGCACGAATTTCATGCACCAGGCTTCTAGTTAAATAATAACACAACCCACCACTGAGAGTTTCAAAATAAAGCTAAATACATTTTGTAGAAAAATCTGATTTTCACCAAATCTCATATTTTTTAGATATATTAAAAATATTTTCCACATCAAAATACCAATACTTTCTCGATTTTAATAGATGATTCAGGCTTAGTGAGTTACAGTGCTAATTTCTGTAATCTGAAACAAGGAATAAATTCAAGACAACAAAGTACTATATAATCCCCCAGACAGCACATCTTTTTTTTTTTTACTGCACAGAATCAACAGTGAGGGATTCTTTTTTCCCATGGGTATGTTTTTATTTTTACTTTTAACCTGTTCATGAGAATGCTAGCACCTTGAGGGCAAGGGACCATTACTAGTTCTCAGGCACTATGCTAGGAACTGGGAAAAAGTAAAAAAAGAGGGAATGGAAAGTCATAAGGAAAAAAACAATACTGTAAGTAGAATTAAAATAATGTCCTTTTTCATAATTATTGGATCTATATTACAAGAAACAGAACTTTTTGTCATGAAATGTACACTTCACTTGTTTCAAATTCTAGTAGAATATATTTTCCTTTTTTTGATAATAAACAACATTTTATATTATTATTTCAATTCCCAGACATATTCACATCCCTTTCAAGGGGTGTCAGTTTTGTGGGTTACTAATATTTAAAGTCATTTAAAAAATAAGTGTAATAAATATTGATGAGAAGAAAAGTTTATGACTTAATTTTTTTCTTTTAGTGTGGCCATTTTTTTTAACCACAATAAAAGGAAATAATATATTATAAAAATCTGAAACAGAATGAACATGTACCAAAAATTATTAATAGGCATCACTCAAAATCCAGAAAATACGTTGTTTTCATATCCACATACATGAGATAAGACACCACGGCAGAAGGGGGCTGTATCTGTGTTTAAAGAAGGAGTTGCTGGCAAACACTACAGCTCACTTCTGCTGAAATGCACACAACTGATATATGCAGCACCGAGAGCTGGCACCAAGGGTTGACAACCTTAATTTGCCTGCAAGAAGGAGCAGAGATTTACCTTCAGAGCACGTTCTTGATTGTTTTCGCCAGTCAGATGTCTCGTGTTGTTTGCTGAAGTCTGGTTCTGCTCTTTCAAACGATGAAGCTCTTGCTCCAGCCGTTTGCACTGCCACAGGGGAAGAATCCCATTAAGTAAAGGAGTTGTAGTATTTTTTTCATCAAGTCACATGAATTAATGCCACTGTATTCTTGAAGAAAAGCTATCTTTTGCAAAAAGAATAGTAAGTTAACAGTAATGTTGAATATGAATAAAATACTTTTAACTGCAACTTTCAGTTTGTTTGTTTTTTTTACTAATCTAAACATTACCATACAAGTTAGAAAATCATAATTATTTTCATAAAGTTAAGATAAAACTACATTAAAATTTTTTTTTCATTAACCAAATGGTTTTCATTATGTATATACTGGCTGAATATAATAATGCTTCTAAAAACCATATTGGATTATAAATAACCTGTTTTGAATTTTTATTAACTTTTAAAAAGGAAAAATATGATAAAATATGAGATTTTTCAGATTTTTACAAATATTTAATGGAACAATTGTGCAGGGGGGAAAGGTGACAACCACAGAGTGCTTTTAAGACTTGGAAATATTAAGGAAACAAGTGTTCTTAATTTCTATTTTGACCATACCCTATTTTTAAGTAAATCTAGTGATAACAAACTTGTGAAATAGCATTCTGACCCCCTGGAAACATATGAGATATGAGTAAAAAAAAATTATGAATAAAAGCATAAATGGGCTAATAGAAGTATTTGCAAAAAAAAATAATTGAAATATCATGCCATTTGCATACAAGATCTTAAATTGAATATATCAAACATTTCACATAATAATTGTGCAGGATTTAAACTGATATGCTTCAAATCAGAACCATAAGAACATATATGAGGAAATTGGCTAAAGAAATAAAAGTACTAAACCCATCTTTCAGAAAAAAGTTATAAATCACTCTTTATCTATTGTAAAATTAGGATTATTTATAATTAACAACCAATAAGTAATTATACATATTGATGCAAGACCTAGGCAAAGTTACTTTTAAATTATTTGACAAATGGCTAGTTGTCATAATGAATTAAAAATTATTGTTTTAATCAAGATGCTGTCATAATCCATTTCTTACTACTCTAACATTAATTCCTTCTACCTTTGATCTCTATAATATTCTGCAGTCTAAATTATTATTTCCCAAGATAATATAAAAATCCTTTCAAAAAAAAGAATATCAGACTCAATATTGACTTAAATTATATAATGTTTATATATATTATACACACACATGCACACACAAATTGGAACATACATGCCTCAGCATATTAATACAATTATGAAACCAAAATACATTTATAAATTAAATAAAATAATAATCACAAAATCAAAATGTTTAAAATCCACACTAACGAAGTAGACAGTTTTTGCTGAAACTAAGTTCTTCAAATATAATATAAAGTGGTGGATATTTTCAAATTGCCATGTCTATTCTACCATGTGTTATGTGACAACTGACCTATCATATTTTTAAAAAAAGATACGAATAAAAATCTTTGTGACATGATCCCATTTGGCTTTTGTCTGGAGGGAACACATAACTTACAAATTAAATTGTGTATCTGTCCCTTTTTAGCTGTAACAAAATATTTGATTGCAATGCAATCAAAGTTCAAATGTGTTTAGTGAAAACACAAATCATGAGGCATGAAAATAAGTAAGACATAGCAGTAAGAATCACGATCTAGTAGAAAATATTCTCTACTACAATTATTCTCTACATTTTCAAATAATCTTAGTACAAAATTATTAAGCACTGAGGGCCCAGTGCATGAATTCGTGCACCTTGAAAGGAACTGTGGGCAGTGAGGCTGTGGTGGGCACAGAGTCAGGTCTCAGCCCATCCTCTCCACCCTCACCCAACCTCTCCCTCCATGGCCCCGGTGTCCTGTCTGCCCGCAGCCCCACTCCACCACCACTGCTGCTCCCACACTCTGAAGGTGCCAGTCCCGCTCGCACTCCACTGATTGCACAGAGTGAATAGGGCTGGCGCCAGCAGTGGGTGCAAGCAGAGCAGGCTCTGTCAGTGAGTGCAAGTGGTGGCTGCTGCCCCGATAGACCCTCAGAAACAAGGGGAGGTGGAGAAGCCCTGAAGGGTGAGAAGAGCCAACAGCACCAGGCAATCTGGACCAGTGCCAGTCACCGGCAGCGGGTGCGAGCGGTAGCTCCAGCATCAGAGCGGGTGCAAGCAGGGCTAGCACCAGCACTGGTTGCAAACAGCAGCTCCAGCACTGGCTGCAGGTGCAAGCGGGGTTGGCATCAGCAGTGGGTGCAAGTGGTGGATCTGGCGAAGGCAGCGTGGGCGAAAGGCGGCTGCAGGTCCTGATCACCCCTCAGGAGCAGGGGAAGGTGAAGAAGCACTGAGGGGCGATCGGGGGGCAGTGCCACACACTGGCAGCAAGTGCAAGCACCTGGTGGGACTGCGGCACGCAGGAGTGAAGAATTTTCAGTAATCACCAGAGGCTCATCCCAATGACAGCAACCAGCACCCCACCTTATTCTGGTACCCCGCTCACCTGCTCCACCATCCCTCTGGGGCCGATGCCTGCCACGTTCCACACTCTGCTGCCTGCTGTCAATGCCCACCATGCCCACACGTGCCCCCTGATGGTCAGCATATGTCATAGCAACTGGTTGTTTGGTTGTTCCATCATTTGGTCTATTTGCATATTAGCCTTTTATTATATACAATTGAGTACTGAAACAAAATGAACTATGAGGTTACAAAGGTAGGGTAGATACATTTGGCTATGGGGGTAAAAGAATGTTTCACGGAAAAGATTATATAGAAATTGAGCTTATTTGGGGTATATGATTTCAGAAGCAGAAAGAGGTGAAAGAGGAAGGATACAGGGGAAAAGGAATGAAAGTAGAAATATCTGATGAAAGATGGAAATCATAGTCACAAATTGTCTGACCACCTATTTTTTGTATTCCCATGTAAATTAGACATGGTCCAAGGATAGAGACTTCTTTCCTATCTACAAGATGCTCAAAAAGAATTCACTCACTCTATCTCGAGAAATGTTTAATTTAATTTCTTCATGAGGTTTAAATTCAACATTGACCTACGAATCAAACTGTAGTGAGCCAACAATAACTTTGAACTGAATAAAAACATACATAAATGCTCTCATCAAATACACTTTGGATTTATATTTAACTATACTTCAGATTTATTTAGATTTATTCAACGCTATATTATTTCTTCATTTGATGTTCTTTCATTCTTAATGAAAAGATGGGTGGGAGGCACTACCAGGCCAATTTAAAAAAATACTATCAGCCGGGACCAGTTTGGCTCAGTGGATAGTGTGTCGGCCTGCGGACTGAAAGGTCCAGGGTTCGATTCCGGTCAAGGGCATGTACCTTGGTTGCGGGCACATCCCCAGTGGGGGGTGTGCAGGAGGCAGCTGGTCGGTGTTTCTCTCTCATCGATGTTTCTAACTCTCTGTCCCTCTCAATTCCTCTCTGTGTAAAATCAATAAAATATATTAAAAAAATACTATCAGCAAAGTGAAAAGGAAAGCTTAAGAATAATAAAGTGGTTATTGCACAAAGAGCATTTATCCACATTGGGTTCTCGGGCTCAGTTTCCACATCAGGCAGGATGAGGAGAGAAGATAAGGCCCAGGGACCAAAGCGGTAACTGTTCCAAAGAGCTACAGTTTCAGGTATTTAATGATCCCTCTACTTTAACGAAAGATGCTTGAGAAGGTATCCCTAAATCAAGTAATAAATAATGGTTTTAGACAGTTTCCTTTTGAACTGACACAAGTAAAATAACATAGTATCTCCCCTGATCATATTCTGCCAAATACTAATATTCTTGACAGTTCTAATGCATGAATTTGACTTAGAAGTTTTCTTATTATTTTATACTTTAAAAAATGTTAATACTCAAATTGAACTTAAGTAAATGCTATCCATATCTTGCCATAGTGTCCTTGAGAACCTGGATTTTCACAAGAGGCAAAAGACACAATGAATGATTTATAAGTTAATTAAAATTCCTTTAATCAAGAATTTGAACTAAAAGAATCAGTAGGAAGATCCAAAGAGTTTTATCTTTAAAAAGTGTGTGTGTGTGTGTGTGTGTGTGTGTGTGTCTGTGTGTGTGTGTGTGTCCCAGTTTTGCCCATTGAAAAGGTTAGACACAATAGCAAACCCAGCAGCAATGAGTACCCCTACTACCTAGACTGTGGTTTCCAAGTACCATTTCTGACTAAAATTAAGAACTCCATGGATATATGGCTGATTCCAGGTCTTAGACAAGAAATACACAATATAATGCAAGAACATCTGTTCTTAGCAGTTTTGCATTAATGATCAAAACTGAGTAACTATCAAAGAGACTCAGAAAGGACTCAGGAGCTAACTTGAAAAGCTCCCAGTACTTGAAGATAAGATAATTTGAACATCACAAAGCATAGTAACAGCAATATATTAGTACATAAAATAGGCTTAATTTATTGAGTTTATAATGACAATAAAACATTGAAAAAACTAATTATCATTGTTGGGTGAATTGTCAATGTAATTAAACTAAATATATACTAAGCTAAGAACTTATCCACTCTTTCTTATATGAACTTTACCACTAGGTAATAAAACAATAGATAAGATGATGACTATATAAATATTCTAGGTAATAAAGAGAAAGGGAATGTTAGAATATCACACTTTTGAAATAATTAATATTTTAATACATCTAGACTCTGATATCTGCTAATAATAGTTCTTTCACAACTTGACATGTGTTTCTAGATGAAACAACACAAAACTATCTGTAAAGTAGTCTTGCTAATAAAAACTAATTTAGATATGATCCAAGTTTCTATATTAAATTGCCATAGCTATAGAAGAAGAGAGAAGAATGAAACATTAAATAACATTGATACAATGAATAAATTAGGAAACTCTAAAAGAAAATTGTTTGTTAAAAAAACTAAATTCCAAAAGAAAAAAGAGATAGAAGGGGAATCTACAATGTGTTAAGTCAATTCTATAATTTGCAATGCATGATTCTAATTTATATACAGACTTAAA